AGGCATAAGAAAACAAAGTTGCTTTAATTACAAATGTACAAAACTAATATTCAATATAATATAATAGCCATAAATCTAATTTCTTGCATATTATCGTTATTATTATTATTATTATTGTTAATCCTTTTTTCTTTTATGGTTCAAAAGAAAAATCGCTAATTATCCCGACTCCCCAGCTTGTCAAAACTCTTTGACATTCCTGTTTAAGATGATTTGCAATTGGCGATTTCCATATTCTCATAGAAGCAAATTGTCGAGCGTACTGAAGACATATCTCCCGGGAAAAAGTTGTGTAAATGCGGTTGTTGATTGCTTTCTATAATTTCAAAAGTGATCAAATAAATTAGATTAAAATTGAAGAATAACAACAAATAATAAATGTACGAACCTGCCATTTTGACTCTATATATATAGAAAGATGTGACTCCGGATTATATTGATAAATCATCAAAAAATCTTCCGGGGCAACCCATAATTCCGACCCACTTAAATATATTTGGAACAGGCAAGCTGCCTTATTATTTTCAAAACGCTCTGTGCACCTGTCAAACGATAAATATCCAATTTCAATAATAGTAATAATAATAATAATAATGAATTGGTCCAGTGTTTAAAATCTATATGCGGAACCTGCAGTGCGCAGATTGAAAATTCATTCCGTAAGAAAATTTTCCTGGAATCTACGGATTTCATTAAGCGCCATACATGTCACGCATCTTTTTTTTTTTATAAAGTTATCAAACTTTTCCGCATATTGAAACAAAATTGAATTTTAAACACTGATCTGGACATTTCACCAGCAGTGTTTCCTAATAATCAGTTCTATTACAAGACAGGTAATAACTGTTACAGCCATTTTCAAAGTTTGTGGAAAGATGCAAATCACCATACCATGGAGAATTCACAATATTTTCCAAATTTCCAGAGTTTTCAAGACCTGCTCTAATTGGATTTTTAATTTTACCAAACAGAATTCCAATTCTTCAAATAAGTATATGGCAATAGTTTTCCACATCTTTTT